GAACAACATTTACCTTCTAGTTTAATTAATAAACTGAGTTTTAAATATGTTTACTAAATTCATAAACTTCGGTAAAACAACAATATAAATTATTTCCAAAGGAACTAGACTAATACAATTCCAACCTGGCGAGTAGCGACTTATAAACAAGACACTTCGTTTGATGCTTTTACCTGTTGCTAGAAATCAGGTTCGCAGAAAATGCTGTTTACTAGTTAAATTTAGTAGGAATAACACGATCTGTGACGTAGGCTATTGTATATCCAATTAGAGTTGGCGCAATTAACGCTATAAAGACGCAGCTACAAGCGTGCTGTTTATAACTGTTAAATTTTGAAGTTATACTTCTTATGCGACTTCCAACAAGGTTGCGTTAAACGTTTAACGCTAAATTTTTATTGGCCGGGAAATCACGTGGTGGGATCTAGTTTTCCCTCATTCATTTCCATATTGTTTTGGTTCTCACTAGCATAAAAATATAAAAATGTCATAAAAGTATTGTTTTTCTATAAATATTTTTTTAGTTTGTTTTGATACACATATAATTTAATAGGGTAGTATTTTTTATTTTCAAATTTAGTGGATAACAATTGTAAAAAATGAGTGAAAACAATCTAACGGACAATGCGACGGATTTAAGGTTATGTCAAGGTACGTCTCTTGTGAATATCAATTGATTGTTAGGTTTTCTCTTCTGAAATTACATTATGACGCATTCACATACATTATTGATATAAATACATTTTCCAGGGCGAGACGATGTGGCAACCACAAGTACTTCCACTGGTTCAACAGGTCCACGAGGGAAAAATGCACAATATTACCGTGATTATAGCAAAGAACTTATACGCTTCGAGTAATTATAGAGCACGGAAGCGAGCGGAGCAGGAAAAAGAGTCGTTGAATAGAACTAGTGATCCTTCTACGACTGCTGATTCTTCTACAATTAACGTCGCAGGTTGCGAAGTTTAACTTCTTCCGCGCGGCGGGACTTCACGCACTATTTTTTCTTTAAGCCGATCTTCAAACTAAAAATATGGACATAGAATGCGAATTTGAAGAAATGCATTGATGGAATTAATAAATAAATCGTGCTACATTACTACTAACTTAACTATAATTATTGTGTATTTCTTGTTTTGATGATCAAATTAGCCGCCCAGGTCATGTAATGTTTCTCTTTGCACTCAATCCCAAAATATATTTGTGTTTCGATAATTTTTACGTTTAATTTGCATTTAAGCAAATTTATATCTGTCGTGCAAATTGAAAAAAATAGACTACGTGCTTCACGATAGATTTCGGGAAAATTGGCTTTATAATCATTCTTTCTATTGTTAATATTATGAAAGCTAAAATGGAATTTCATAAAACTAGTAAAACAAAGTTAATTTCTCAAAAAACAAACAAACAATATGCAGCTTATTATAGACAAATGCCGAACACATAAAAATCGCAATTTTAATTTTTGTAACTTACGTTGATTTTTCTATTGCACGGCAATTCTAGCCCACAAAATAAGAATGTCTTTATTAAAAATCTGCTATTGAAAAAACTTAATCTGTTTTTTTTTTAATGCGGTAAACTTGTTTGTTCTGCTACTCAAGAATAAAATACTTTGTTTTCTCAATAAATACTCGTTTCAAAGCAGCAACCGTTATACTATTTTTTTTTAAATATTACCGATGTATGAATTTACATTTAGTCCTTTAAAAAGTTAATTTACCACATCCATAAAAAAATTATCTTTTAAATCCTGAAAAATCCCTGTCCTACATTGCTTGCTTGATGAAACGATTAAAAATAAATCGCAATTTTTAACTGAAAAATTCTTTTTTTTCTTTCAAAATCACATTTTGCCTCAATTTTTTGTTAAGATGTCTAGAGTAAATATGATTCAAGTACCATCCTTATTTTAAAGATAGAAAGATTAGGCTATTTATAATCGAAAAATACTCAAAATTGTGTCGAAATATCGTGACATCGATTGTTTCAAAAGCAATGGAGCTAAACAAAGAATATATATATAATGGTATGGTATTTACAGGGCCATTCTGTATAAAAATATACTTCGTGTACGGAAGGCTTTTGTTAAAGCTCTAGTCTATCCATTGTTATCCTTGTTTTCAGATACGATCTAAGGAATGATCTTAGACGATATATTCTTTTGGAAATAACCATTATTACCTTAAATGTCTAGTTTATGTCTGTAAAATAAGCAGGATGGAACTGTTTTCCAATTTCGTCGATGCTAAACTTCTTTTTTATACAAACTTTAGTTTCTTTGGAAATAACTATAGGAACATAAAAAATACCTTCGGAGATTAAATCTACGACATAATACAGAATAAATAATACATTTAGAAGATAAAAATTAAGATTACTGATCTGGACGGTTTAAAAACGCAATATTAATTTGAATAATACTGTTTGCTTTATGAACCAATAAAAAAAATCATGAATTTTAATTATAAGCCTGAGTTTTCTATCAAATTTACTTTTTGTCCCAAAACATTATATGTTTACATGCCTTCAGCAAGTACGTTTTAAGCAGGGTTGGCTTTTTGTCGGCAGAAACTGGTTTTTGCCATGCCAGTGGCAGAAACTGGTTATAACTGGTAGAAACTGACAGAAACTAAAAAAAACTTCTATATTACTTCTAGTAATTGCTTAATGACATTTTGTTTAAGTAATCTGAAAAATTTAACTCCATGTAGCTGTAACAAAGTTTTTAATTCATTGTTTGTAAATATATGTTATTTTGCTTTATTAAATATAAAGAGTACCAGTATCTGAAATATTTATATAAAATAAAGAATAAAGTAATGTAATAATAAATATAAATACTAAATTTTAGTTTATTATATTAAACTCTGAAATTCAGTAATTATTATCATTTAACTCTTAACATAACTGAATAGAGCTATTTTCAAATAGTTTTTTTCCTTTCAAGACATAATTTGCATGGCAATAATCCAATTATTATAACAGTAACTGTTTTAATCTTTTGTGGATGGCAATGCCTGCTACTTCTGCTGGACTTGAGAGAATCTTCTAAAATTTCTCGTTCGTGCATAGCAAATTGAGAAATTGTTTGGGTTCAGAAACTGCATCAAAACTTGTCTATTGTTATATATTACTGCTGAGTGCAAACAACGTAATACTTGATTTTGAATGGTGATAATTTTGAAAATAAATTGTACTTTGTTTAATATTTAAGTGTTTTTTATATGAATTATCCATTGTATGTCAATCTCAGTACTTATTTTTATGTCATTTTCGAATTTCTGCCAGTTTCTGCCTCAAATGTGGCAGAAAAGGGTTTCTGCCATGCCAGTTTTAACCGGTTTCTACCAGTGGTTTTAACCACCTCGGCAGAAACTTGCCACCCTTGGTCTTAAGTATTATTTTTTCAGCAAAAAAAAAGCTTATACTATTTAAAATCGAAAAATACACAAAACTGTGATGAAATATAGTGATGTCGATTTTTTCGCAAGCAATAGAGATAAACAAAGAATAGATATAATGGTAAGGTATTTACAGGATCATTCTGTATAAAAATATACTTCGCGTATGGAGGGCTTTTGTTTAGGCTTCAGTCTATCCATTGTTATCCTAGTTTTCAGATAAGATCTAAAGAATGATCTTAGACGATACATTCTTTTGGAATTATTACCTTAAATGTCTACTTTATGTCTGTAAAATAAACAGGATGGAACTGTTTTCCAATTTCGTCGATGCTGAGCCTATTTTCTTTATACAAGCTTTAGTTTCTTTGGAAATAAGTATAGAAGTATAAGAAAATACTTTTGGAGATTAAATCAACGACATAATACAAAATAAATATTAGATTTAGAAGATAAAAAAGAAAATCTAAGATTACCGATCTGGACCTTTTAAAATGCGTAATTCTAATTTGAATAAAATTTTCGACATTTTGACTCAAAAATAATATTAAAAAAATGGAAATCATACGGCATGAAAATTCATATAATTTAGGCCTATGCTGCATGATGGATTAAAAAAAAAACGAAAATTAGCAGAATATATCTTAAGGCAAGATATTTTTGCAAGTTTATTTTTACATTGAATTTTATAAATTTGATTTTCTTAAAATCGTAAATAGAAATTAATTCCACTTTTTGACGAACTAGAGAGTCCACATTTTGCTTTATTTTATAACTGTGGTTGAACAGCTGACCCAATTTTGGGTTTACGACTACCAATGTTCAACTCCGTCCTAAAAAATAAATTTAACTGAATAAATGGTGTTTATGAAATGCTTTAAAGTATCATCATAAAATAACCAAATTTTACTACAGTTAACAAATTTTGCACACAAATTAAAAGTTTATTTATTTTCGTAAATTTCACCAAAATCACAACTACCAAAACGCTTCGATAAAACTCACCGAATTTTTTGGTGTTCCCATAGAGCAAAAAACACGGTAAATTATATCATATTTTCGTAGTTCTGACCCTACTTTTTTCTCAGTGCTTACTTATTTATAACGTATACAGTACAGGATTAGGTTTAAAACAGCATATTGGATATTATAGGGGGTTTGCTGTCATTTAAGTTCTCTTTTGTACATATTTTAGTGAACGTTGCGCATAATCGGGGCTGAATTTCGATAAGGCTGAACTGATAGGGCTGAATTTTTTTTTTTTTTTTAATAACGGCATGCACTGAACTTTTCGTTCTTCGCCATAGAAGATGCCGGAATTGTTACTCATTTAGCGTTACCCAGTGGGCACCTGTGAACCAAAGTCACGGAGGCGAGCAACGTTACCCACGCCATACTGCCACAAACCCGTTCATAGGGTGGGCCACATTCACTAATTCACACAACTGAAGACAACACAGAGAGAGAAACATCCATGCCCAGAGCGGGATTCAAACCCGCGGCCGTTGGCTCCGCAGTCAGACGCGCTAACCACTCGGCCACCTGGCCGGCAATAGGGCTGAATTGGTATGGCACAATTTCCTCCTTCAAAGTATGTCACAATCGTTGGCATATGAGAATAAGCCTGAAACTTCAAAAGCACCAAATGAAGAAAGTAAATGTTGAGTCGCGGTGGCTGAGTGGATAGAGCAATCACATGCTAATAAGGTGCCCCAGGTTCAAATTCCAGGGATGGCTGGTTGATACGAATTCTTCACACGGCTCACACAGTGCTGAATTACAATATCCGTAGTGATGAACGGATTGTGGGTTAGAATCCCCTGGTCATCCACTGGAGGTTTTCATGATTCTCTTCTCCATGTAACGCAAATGAAAGTCAGTTCCATAAAAAAATCCTCCATGAAAGCAAGTTTGTCTAAATCCTTGATTCAGGAGTTCCTTTGTCTTTTGGGATGGGTTCAAAATTAAAAGCCACGGAGTTGAGCATTGATAGTCATAAACCCAGAATAGGATCGACTGTTCAACGCCGGTTATAATATAAAATAACATGACAAAATTTAAAATGTGTTTAATCACGTGAGCTAGGAAGTCATTTAATTAGAATAAGTAGAATGAAAGAAAAAAAGAAGAAACACAAATGCACAAAATATAGCGCAATATTTAATAGTCCAATTAGGGGAAATTTTGCGTGAATTTCGAAACCCTTGCTAGATATTTGAGATAAACATCCTCTCTAAACTTTTATTGTTGTCATTAATATATATTTTAACCTTTTATAATTCGTGAAATCGGAGATTTTCAACGCTGTTATTTATTTTTTCCCCTCGAGTTTCTCTCACGTTAAACATGTTAGGAATCATTTTAGTTCGTATGCCTGTAGAAATTGCAGGATAATATTTCATCCGTACATAATAAAGAAATCATCTAATATCATACAAAGTCTTAAATAAATCTTGCCAACTAAATCTTTTTCATTCCAACGATCTTTTATTGTTGCTGGATTAGTTCTGTGGCATTTTTATAAGATCTTTAGCAATAAATGCTGAAGAATATAAAAATGCTCAACACCAGTACTGCAAATCATTGCGTTATGGTAGGGATAAAACTCTTTGCCGTAAACTCAGCTTCGTAAGAATGTAAGAAAACTATAAATACAACCAAAAATGGCGTTTTATGTGTGATTTTCTTCTATTATGACCATTTGATCGCAATATTTAGTGTGTTTTCTTTTCTTTAGAACTCTCGAAGCTGGATAGCTGCTCTCTGTTTATATTTCCCTTTTCTTTTTTCAACGGTATTTCTTTGGATTACTAAGGTATCTTTTGTGTTCTTTTAGGATTTTTTCTGTCTGGGGGTTATATTTTTAGTTTTCGCTTTGGCAGATACACAAAAGGGATAAAATTCGCTCGTATATGTTTTATATCGAATAATAATAAATAGCATACGCAGGTAAATATACTTTTGAAAAATATTTTCAAAATATATTTATATATTTTAAAATAAAGGTACCTTTCAATCTACTGAGGTTGTTATTTTATAATGCGGATGACTTTTTTTTAAACATAGTTATAAAAAATGTTAAATGTTTTCTTTTCTTTCACTTACGATGAACCATATTTTTGCTTCCTAAAACCATATTTTTCAAACTAAATAAATGATCTCTAAATTAGAAGAAATTCATTTGCTTCATCGATTGGAAATGAAAATCAGCGTGTTTCAAGAGCTCGAAAGTAAGAGTCCATTTTAAAAACTTGCCAGATGTGAATGAGAAGAAACAAAAGTGATTTGAAATATAAAACGTAAAGTTGCCGGCGAAATTTGAAAATAAAGGTGAGAAATAAAATTAGAAAACCCTCAGTAGCCGAGAGCTTCATCCATTTTTTGTTGGCAACTATACGTTTTATATTTCAAATCCCTTCTGTTTCTTCTCATTTACGTCTGGAAAGTTTTGAAATAGTGCCCCTATTTTTGAGCGCTGGAAACATGGTCGACTATCATTTCCAATCTGTATATTTCCAAAACGAATGAGATTTTTTATCAAGTCATATATCTTTAATATTTTCTACAAACTTATACATTAAGCCATGTTGTCATTCAAGTTGAACTGCAGTTCAGTGCAATCAGATTCAAAAAGTTTCAGTGCTTATTATAAGGTTCAACTTTGCATTGAATTAATGTTTAATAAAAAAAAACTGAGTGACATTATAGTTGAATGCTTTCCAAAATTCCAAAAATGTATAAACAATAACTTTATTTCTAAAATTATATTAAGTTGGCAATTAGGTTCTCACCGTTTTTTTATTTAAAATGTTAAGTTTAAAGAGTTGCAGTCTTCCTCTTTCTATACATATTCTTCGGAGCCAATTTTTGTGCAAAAGTTGAATTTAATTTTGAATTGAATCGAACTTTGGCTGAGTCAAACTTAACGGAACTCGACTAGATGGTCAAAACGAGACCCGTATTTGAGTTTACAATTTTCACCGTTGTTTTTCAATTTTCACTTGTCATACCAATCACGGCCGGTGCGTTCAGTTATGGCCCCCTCTCTATACACAGCTCCAAAGTCATGAGCAGCTTTTGCCACCTTTGAACCTTAATTAAATGAAAAAAGTAGAAGACGTCCAAAATGCTAATTTTTTTCAACTTGTTCATACATTTTATATTCCTAAAAATTAATATAAATTAATTCTAACAAAAAGCGTCTTTTTTTTCGAATAATCTAAAACACTCTAAAAAGAACATTAAATAACACGCGAAATGCTTAAAGAAAGGAAAGAAATTACCGATGAGATAAGATATAAAAAAAGATATAGAATGGTAATTTTTTGGTTATATAGATTGTGATTATCCTTAAAATAAATTAGAAGAATCCAGTTGAAATTAATACTATTGTTTAAGTCTTAAAACCCCTTTAATAACTACTTTTTGATGCATGCTTCGAAACCGCATGCTTTTTTTATATTAATTCTAACTCAAATGTAAAACAATTATCGCAAAAATTTAATAAATTACTCATATTACTTTTTTAAACATGCTTTACGAAATTCTAAATACTAAAATTTAGTGAAACAAAAGGTTGACTTTTCTTGCTTTTAGAGCACAAAAATATTTTAAGTCCTCTGACTTTTCGATAGTACAAAGACGCTACTATTTTCTTTGAATAGTTATCTTTTTATACAAGGATTCAACTTCCTGAAAAAAATGTCTGTTTTCACGGGCTTTAAATTTTTTATCTATTTTTTCTCCTACTGAAATATAAATTGAAAAGTGAATGTTGCAAAAGTAATTTAATATTACAGAAGCTGGGTCAAACCGAAAATACAATTTCTTATTTGTTCATTTTAACGAAATGTTGTTTCCTTCCCATTTCATTTTAGATAGAAGTGTTCTATTCCCTGTTTAGGGGATAAAAAAATAAAGTTTTATCAGAAAATAGAGGGGAAAAAAACTTTTTTGAATAAATATTCCTTTGCACTTTACAATTGTGAAGTTCTGTAAATAAACATTGAAAATTTAAGAATTAATATCTGTATTTACGATCATTATTATTCACGATTATATACATTAATATTCTCCATCATAATGTGCTTTATTTTTCTTATATTTTATTTAATCTTTTCTGCCATTTTTTAAAGACAGATGCTTGATTCCATATTTTGAAGGTAAAAAATTAAAGTTTTATCATGAAAAAAACTTTGCTGAATAAATATTTCTTTGACCTTTAAGATTATGCTTTAAATAAGCTTGAAACTGTTAAGAATTAATTATAATTATGCGATAATAATGCGCTTTATTATTTTCTATTAAAAAGTACGTAGAATAAAAAAAAGTTAATATCCTGAATAACTTTTAACCTAATGATAAGACTTTCCCGTACTAGATTCAATCTTATTGATTCGATGGCATAACCTCAAACATGATACTTAATCAGTGCAGATGATATTTTAAGTTAACAAATCAGACACAAAAATGTACTTCCTCTGAATAAAAGTACTTTTTTATCGACGGATTTGAATTTTTAATTTTCAAAATATGCTGGGTAGCGGTTATCGGGAAAATATGGTCACAATAGTTAAGGCAGGAGTGAGGTCAAAAGTTTGAACCCCATGACGTTAATTTTACATTTTGCGTTGTTGTAGTAGTTCATTTGCGTCACACTAGAGCTGCACAATGTGCTATTGGCGACGGTCTGGGAAACATCCCCTGGGGATGATACGAAGACATGCCATCACAATTTTGATCCTCTGCAGAGGGGATGGCACCCCCGCTTCGGTAGCCCGGCGACCTGCACGCGAAGTCGAGCACTTTACGGTTGCACAGTTTAACGAGGACCCATACCGCACACCTTCGGTTCCTACGCAGACTGATCCAAGTGGTCACCCACCCGCACACTGACCTCAGCCAGTGATGCTTGACTTCGGTGATCTGCTGGGAACCGTGTCTTAATGATCAGTCCACTACACTACATTTCGGGACTACATTTTGCGTGCTTCGTCTTATCTAGAGAATATTCTCAGAAAATTGAGGCTTTTTCTGCACAATCATAAAGTTAACTTATTCATTATAAGTCTACGAAAAACTTAAATCCATACAGAGAATCTCACTCATTAACATCACTAAGGCTTTCTCTACAACCAGCACGGAGGCCCTCCAGATACTGGCGGGGGTGAAACCTATCCATCTTAAGATTTTGGAGGACACTTGCATTAAAAGACTTAAGTGGAATTGGAGACTTAACGACTTTAACTCAGAGATGCAGCAGATTCTCCTCACAACACATATGGATGATACACCAACTAGGATTCACCTATCAAAACTTATTTCCGTTCCCTACGGTAGATCACTCCCAACAAACAGCGGCCTTGAAATTTTTACTGATGGATCAAGGATGGAGGTTGCCGACTCCGCTACTGATACCACAGAATATAGAACAGGCTTCAGCATTGTTACTAAAATGTACGGTACTTTAATCGAGGCAACCTCCACCAGGATCTCAAACAATAGTAGTGTTTACATGGCAGAATTGGTGGCAATTAATAATGCTTTTTTCTGGCTCTCTAAAAAAGAATATCCAGACGCCACTATCTATACTGATTCGCTTTCCTCGTTGCAAGCCTTACAAAACCCAGTATCAAACTCAAACATTTTTGAAAATACTAAACAATTATGGCGATCTAATACACTCTGTAATTGGGTTAAAGCTCATATAGGTACTCAAGGCAACGAGGAGGCGGATCGAGCAGCTAAGAAAGCCACCGATTTCTGCCAAATTACCCTTGAGGTTCCAAGCTCCATCGCACAAATTAAAACTCAGGTTAAATTATATAGCATGAAGCGCTGGGGGCTGGAATGGCGGAGTTCCGAGAAAGGGAGACAGACATTCAAATTTTTTAAAGTCCCGAAATTAAATAGACTACAAGCAAACTTCTATCTCAATCAATTTTTAACAGGCCACGGAGTGTTTGGAGAACACCATAATAAATTATTCCACAAAACTCCAGAATGCAATTACTGTGGTGAATATCAATCTATTGATCACTTGTTAATGAATTGTTTTCAATTTCAGACAATTCGGGGCAATAACTTTAATAATATTGGTCAACATCAATGCTATGCTAACCTGACTTGTAGAAATATCATAAAAAAGATTATTAAACAAACCTTAGAGGATGTATTGGGGCACGGTCTTTAATGTCTCGGAACTTGTTCCTTCCAGCTTGGGTGTCTCATTCTTTTTTTTTTTTTACTATGTCTTTTATTATCTCTTCTTCTTTTACTTGCTCCAATTTTATTGTTATTTACTTTTGTACTATTTAATTGGTTTTAAAAGTACTGTTTTTAAATGTTTTACAATATTGTTCTTTTGTAATTTTTGCACGTTTATCTTTTAAATTGTTCTTTAAAATTAATTTTTTAATTGACACTTTTAATATATTGCTGTTTTAATGTTTATCATCTTACATGATTTCAGCTGCTCTACGCCCGCCATGTTCATGGGCTGTTGCCATGTCTGATGTGTATTTTATGCTTGTACTGTTTTCTGGATTTTTTTGATTTTAATAAACATTTACCAGTATGCCCTAAATAAGGGCGGGTCGGGGTAAATTCTTCCATTCATTATAAGTCTACGTAAAATATTATTTTTAATAATTTTTTATAAATATGCGTATTATTTATATTTAATGATAAAAAGTTTGATTCCTATAGTGCTATTATTGCAGTGCAGACAATTTTGATAGCATAAATAATCATTTTTTACAACTCAGAAAGGTATATCTAAAACCAAATTGAAATCAATTTCAATCTAAACCTTGTTGATGAATATATATTGACAAATTTTAATTAAAATGCTAATTGGTAATAAAACATTTTACGGTACGAAGAAAGAAATTTTGAACGCAAATCAACACATTTGAAAATCATTATTCAATTTGATTTATTTGAAAATACAGAAACAATTTACTTTAAATCGATTTTAATAACCATAGCTTTAGTTAAAGTTAGTTGATAAAATAGTTTTGTTGAGTTTACTTGATAAAATAGTGTTAACGAACAACACTCACGGAGTGAATGGATAAACGATAATTTTTTCACTGGTACAACGAAAACAACTCGTAAAAGAGAAGACGTTGCAGTTCGAAGATATTGTTTTAGCTTAATGCCTGGCAGAAATTATTTTCGAATTCATCTACATTGAATTATATTCTTTTAACAAATACTTGATAAAATATTCCCTTTAAATTTTCTAAAAACCTTTAATTCAGCTGTGATGCCTCAGGGGATAGAGCGTTCGCCTTCCAAAAGGTGAACCGGGTTCGAATCCCAGCTATGATTGGTCGATACGAAATCCGCATATGGCTTGCACCGACCACAGTGCTGACGTAAAATATCCTCAATGGTAGACGGACCAAGGGTTAGAATTCTCTTGCCATCAGGCTAACCGTGGGAGGTTATCGTGGTTTTCCTCTCCATGTAACGCAAATGCGGGTAAGTTCCATTAAAAAGTCCTCCACGGAGACAATATTTACCCAATGCTTGATCCAGGAGTTCTCCCTTGTCTTCTGGATTAGGTTCAAAATTACAAGGCTACGGAGTTGAACATCAGCAGCCGTAAATCAAAAAAAATTGGGTCGACTGTTCAACAACTATTTATATATATATATATATATATATATATAT